TAAAACTAAAGACCTATTCTATCAACTAATAACATTATTTTTTTAAAAGATAGGACAGAAAGTGACTTCTATACTTTCAAAATTTATGCAAAACTTAGGAGGTCTTTAGACCGAGCCAACTATACTCAAAATTGGACGAAAAAAGGTCCAAAAATTGTATTAGTATGGGGTCACTTTTAACTTTTCTCTAAAATTAACATACTGCAAACAAAACCAGACAAAGTTGAGCAGTTGCCACAGTGCCACGTTTGTTAAGATAAAAAAAACCATGCAAAACTCACAACACTGCTTTGGGAGTTTTCCTGTTTCATTTTGTAAATAGAATGGTACATTTTGCATAAAATTGATTTTAAAAATTTACACAAATAAGAAAATAAGCCAGGCTTTTGTTTTTTTATTAATTATTTTAATCACTTTTATCCAAAAAATGAAGAATCAAAAATATCGAGCAGCTCCATCTTTGTGTCCAAGTGAATATAAAAGACAAATAAAAATAAAGAAGTATTCACAACAATTACTTGCATCGCCAGCAATCAGTTGTCAGTGTAAAATTAATTAATTTATTAGAAATATGATATTTAATGATGAAAAAAGTTTATGATATATGTGTATTAATCCATTACATGTTGTATGGGATTATAAAGATGATATGATGATATATGTATTTGCATCATTTCACAAAATTCATTAATTTCTGCCTTAGACTTGAGAATACTATATAACTTTATTTCTAGATCCATGTACATCTTGCAATTCACGCATTTTCAACTCTATGCATAGTAACTGGGATGTAGAAATCCTTCCCACAATGAAGCTTCATTCCGGATTTAGGCCAATCCATAACACATCCATGTTTTTCAAGGAAAGGATTACTCAACATCAACATAAACCTTTGGTATTGTGAAGTCGTGTCCGAGTCTCGCAAGATAATAATTTATTTAATGTTAATAATTTTAATATAATAATTATAATAATACAAATACCCCCAATTTATTTATACTAAATTGTAACAACAACAATGTATATTTATTCTTTACTTTCAAGAATATCATTAAACAGTTTCTTGCTAAACAATACTAAACAATATTTTATTTGGATTTCACACTATTATCCTGATCACGTTATTTGCGGGTACCATTCCTGTGTTACCCAGTCAAGTCAGGTACGTATTCTAAAACTTCACTAAATAATATTTATTGAACATTACCTTACTAAAAGAAAAGAAAAATAAGAAAAATATAAAATAAGAGAAAATTAATTATGCACGGGATTAGTATGAAATCATTGTTAGAGATAGATTTATTATCATTACGAAAATATAAAATTCGAAGACAGCAACAAGGGCAAGGACGGTTTGCTATTTATTGATAATAATTTTTATAATGAATAATCATGTTTATGAAGTTAATGACATGATGATAAATGAAGTAAAGAAAATTACAACGTTATTTATACATGTTAAAGGTTTGATCATCTAGTTTTCTCTCTGATTTCCATTGTTCTAATTAAATGTATTCCTTTTTAAAGAATGTTACTTAATTTCTGAGTTAATTGATTGAGTAACAATATTAATATCAAATTAAATTGGATTCTTGATGAATCATTTCCGATTTTATTTGTGATGATCCATAAATTACTATTTTTAACAGTATAGTATTCAATAACCACAAAATTCAAATAAAATACGCGACCTGGGGCTAGAGTTAACGGTAGATTATAAACCATTCCAATAGATTCGGCAAGAACAGTGGTCACCTCCCGAAGACTGTGTTTCACACTTTTGTCAATTTTTAAACCCAAACATTCAGCAATGTCCCTAGACATAAGTAAAGTGTTAGAGCCAGGGATCAACTATGATGGCTGCGAGAACTAAACGTTTGATTTTGTCTCTCACAGTTGGAACATCTATTACATCTTTAGTTAATTTCATATCTTCGATAACTTCTTCATCCTCAGTCTCGCCTTGTAGAATTCTGACTTGCTTATAATAATACCCTTCAAAGAATTGGAATTCTCAAGTTTGCTTTGAATGATTTTACAAATTCATTGTTCCAGTAGTGTTGAAGTGGGATTTTGTAATTCTTGAAAGAAAGCTCCAATTTTCAAGACATTTAAAGTAAAATTGAAACAATAACCTTGTTTTGAAATAAAATGTAATACCGTTTTGAATAGTTGTAGCTTTACTTAAACCTCAAAACATACTCATTAAAAAACTTTATTTCACTTTGAGTTAATAATAAGATTTTAGCAGGGGATGTGCAGTGAGCTATGAAATTTTTTGTGAAACTTTATTATATTCTCATATATGTTAATTAAATATTAATTAATTGCTACTTTTTGGCCAAGATCTCTCTCTGGTTCATACTTTTCAATCTTGAATCATAGATTGATCAGTTTTTATTAAACAAAGTCAAAGTCTAAGATCTCAAGCGAATCCCAAGAAGGCACCCTGCTCATAACTACGTATATCAGATCAGGAGTGAACATATTTTCATATTTTCATCAATGTTGACAATTGCATGAGGTAATGTCAATCCTCGAGTTTTGTGCATGGTAAGAGCGAAGGCATTCTAAAGAGGATTGTTGCCTTGGTGCAGGACTTCTATTGATATCAAAGTAAGTGGTTTCTTTTTGCACTGTTACTTTTGTGTGAGCTTTGAAAAAAATTATTAACTTGATTTTTTGAAACTAATTATCCTTGGATTACTTTTAAGGATAGTTGTAATATTCGTTCTCCCCAAGACCATATTGGGTTATATAATGATTGAAAATCTTCACTTTGATTCTGATCGAGGATGTTGTAATTGATTATGTCTGCTACAGCTGAGATAAATGGGCCAAAGCTCTATTCACTAAGAGGTGGTTTTTTACAAATCAGCTAATTAAATTTCTAATATATAATTATCAGGCAGGTCCTATGTAATCATTGGCAGAAATAAACAAACTTATTTTTGCAACTTTATATTATAATCATGTGATACAGTCAGTTTATAAGAATATATTTGAATTAAAGAAAAATAATTTTATTTCTGCCAGTAATATGTTGGACCTACCTGATAATTCATTTATCAGGCAGGTATCGGTCGGTAGATACCTATATTCCCTATAGGCAATATCCTTTTTTTTCACATATCTGAAGTAGACGTGAAAAACATAATCAGGTAGGTATTATACGTAAAATTACCCGCAAATTAAGTTTGCTAATAATGTGTGATCAGCACATTTTAATATGATAAAAATGTTACTAATACTAGTACAATCTCGAGTTTGAATTTTAGACAAGCAGATAAATTTTTATTCTCTTCTCTTTATGTTTAATTTCCTGTTTGTACAGCATAGTTCTTTGCAGACCAATTAAAAAAGTTTAACTAGCATTTTATCATTGTCATGCAATAAACCATATATACATTTATTAACGGAAGAGAGATGACATCTAGGAAGGTTATCTTTGTTTCAATTTGTGCTACAACATTTTTTAAAAATTTTGTTTTGAAGAGCAACTATCATGTCTTTATCTTGAAATCCGTCAGGTTGTTGAGCAAAATTCTATTGTGTCTGGGTCTGGTGGGTATCTCAACACCAAGGTTTAGATGCTATACTTGAGGAGGTAAACAAAACACTAAAAAGAAATTGTGCCACCTGTTCCAACACAAAAACATTGGGTAATTTGTAATTGCTGCTAGAAATTCTATTAAATTTATGAATGTAATTGGTAAAATCATTATTTTTTTCCCCCATTAGAAAGACTTGTACAAGACATTTTTATACTGGAAAAATAATATGTACCTTAGTTGTATTAGTCTATATAATTAAAGTTACAAAAGTTTAACTCAAAAAATAATTATTTATATATACAAAATTGAACCCCATTAATCATTGGATTTTATTCCTGCCTGCATATTTTTATTGATGGGCACATTTGTGGGAAAGGTTCCTATCACCAAGAAGGATGTGCTCTCCATTGGAAAGTGTGACCATGTGGCGAATGTGGTATGCCAACTGCTTCTTCATATAGTATGTGTAAATAAATTGTCATTGAAAAAAAAACATGTTGAATTGCTCACAAGACATAATTGTGAAAATGGATCCATAAAATTTACCTTGATATAATTTTTTTTGATGATCTAAACCTATTCGATTTTTGGTGGGTATACAATATATATCACCTGGGAAAATAAATTTTGTGATATTATCTATCACTCCCCATGAAGACCCTGGTGTTGGTTCTATGTAATTGTTAGCGATTTAGCATAATCATTTACTTCCGACTCATTTTCATCCAATTAAATGTTGAATTAAACAAGTGGTTCTCCCTTACTTCTATTCGGATTGGGTTTGGCTGAGTCTCTCTGCTCCTTTGGATTCATTCAGGGAACCCTGAGCTTGCTTCTCTTAGAAGTGGTGATGCCTGTTCTTTTGAAGCTTTGAGGGTAGTCTCTTTCTCCTTCCCCTTTTCTGGGCTACTTTCTTGACTGCTTGAGGTTGTTTTTACCATTAGGATTTCTGATGAATCTTCTGATATTGTAGTGCTTTAGTCCCTGAATTTCATCTTTTTCTCCATTTTCTTCTTGGTTATCTTCCTCATAATCTTCTTCGTTTTCTTCTTGGTTATTTCCTCCTCTGGAAACATAGTCATTGCAGCTTTGTATAGTATATTCCATAATTTCAATATTTTATTTATAATAATAATAATAAAATTTCAATAGTCTTTAATTTCCTAATCTCAAAATGCAATTGTTTTTCTTTTACAAATATAACAATAATTTCAATAGTGTCTTTGGCTAATAATCTCTGCTAATAATTTTTATTGCCCCCAATCACACTTTTCCCAGCAGATGGATACTTATCTGCCTGAATTGTGAACATCCAAATTCTTAATATACTTAGCCTCATACTTCTTCTGGCCCTAAATAGACTTCCACTGGTCTTAGGTATCTTTTTGAGTTCTGTTTTCTAAAATAAAAGAAATATATATATACAACTATACTTATCAAAGGCATTCTCCTGGTAAGATAATAATTAATTAAATATTTAGTCAGATGGGGTTAGCAAAAGAATTAATGCTTATGCCAACAAGAGTAATTCATATTTTTTTTATTTATTTGTAGATATCATTGAATTCTCTAAATATTTTAATTCTCAAATTAAAAGGGTTAACTACAGTTCAACATAAAGGAAAAAAAGAGTCAATAAGTGATCCTGATTTTATTTGAAGAAATGCTTATAGAAAAAGAACCAGACCTTGATGGGTTGGTTTTTCAACATGTTGTTTCAAAATATGGACCCAACAAATAAAAATCCCAATACAGATAAAAATTTAAGGTTAAAGGTAAATGATGTTATGCTATCAACTGTAGGTTTAAGAAATAAATGATTTAGTTTGGTAAAAAAAAATAAGATTGCTGCAATTAGAGAAAAGGCAAATTTAGTCTCACAAAACCAGATCCCGCTTGTACTAATATAAGTAAAAAGTAAAGCTCCAAACAAGCTGGCTTGCAAGTCATATAGTCTAGTCAGTTTGTAAGTCAGCTTGTGAGCTGGCTCATGCAGAGCTTTAGAGTGATGAATGAATGGATTATTTAAACTCAATTTAAAATTCAATTATTAAATACCTTTTTTTTTTCTCGATGTAAACTCTGCAAATTCTCTTTATTTTTTTATATTTTATATAAATAAATCATTATTATGAATTGTAATAATAATAATAATAGCATATTAAAAATTTAATAACATTATATTACTTATTTAAAAAAAGAAAGTTAAAAGTAATTAATGTTATTTCTTTAAAAATCTTAATTTAAAAAATGTATGATTAAAATCTTATCTATTAAAAAAAAGTGAAGGTAAGATTAAATTGGATAAGATGAAATGAGATTATGATTATGAATGTGCTTGTGTATGTATATGTTGTGTACACATATATATATACACACATACTACAGAAAAAATTTAATAAAATTAAGCAGGGAGAGTGAGATTAAAGAATGAAGAGGGAAATGACTGTATAAATTAAAGTAAATAGTAATGTAAAAAGGATTAAAGAGTGTATAATTTTTTCTTTTCTCTAAAAAAAAAATTTAAAAAAAAAATAATTGATCATTTATAAAAATAAAATAATATTATATTAATATATTGGGTGTAATATTTGTTCTTCTACAAATTGATCAACTGGTCAATATTCAATTCAGCTACCAACTTCAAACCATACCTCCAACCATAACAATATCTTCAACTTGTTGAGTTAAAGTGTATGGAGTAGTAAAATATCCTAAATTATCTTCTAATTAATAAATAATAAATAAATTAAAATAAATAAATAAATTTCTTCTAAAAATTAAAATAATCATATTTTTAAATGAACAAACACCTTCAGTTTTAATATTCATCATATTTCCATCATCTTGTGATATTTGTTGTTGTTGATTTTGATTAAAAATAAACTGAAAAGCCTCTTCTTCATTATAAAAATGTTGGAGAGGAGAAGAAACAAACATTCTTAATGGATCATTTAATAATAGTGAGGCTGTTGATACAGGTGAAGTAGGATCATTAGGATCATTAGACATCATCATTTGACTGTCATCATTGCCATCATCCATACTTGACAATGAATTTTTATTGGATATTTGATGATTTATAAAACCATAATTATTATTGAACTCTGTCATCATTGAAGGAGCAGATGAAGGTTGTTGATGATAAGTATCATAACCATTTACAACAGCAACATCACCAGAATTATTTACATTACTCATTTCTTCATCCTTAATAACAATATCATCATCATTATCAGCAGTAGTGTCATTATTGTTATTATTATCTCCTAAAGAAGCAAAAAATTCTGTTTTAATAGCAGGTGCAGACATTGGATGACGCTGAAAGAAAAAACCTTGGTGAGAAATTGTATCGCTAGAATCATCAATATTTAGTTGTGGCAAAGAAGAAAAATTTGTTGTAGTATTATTATTACTATTATGATTTATTGTCATTACATCATAATGATCAAGCATTTTATTATTAGTAATTGTTGAAGATGTAGTCATTGGTTGATGTGGTTGTTGTTGTTGCTGCTGCTGATCAAATTTATTATTATCATTATCATCAGTATTATTGGTATTATTATTTGTAACATTAACATTGTTTACAATATGATTATCATCAACATTATTATCACTGGTATTGTTATCATCAGTATTATTATTATCAACATCTTTACTATCACTACTATTATTATCATTACTATTACCAGTTCCACCTTTATTATTCTTTATGGCCTTAACCAATGTGACTTCTTCTTGGAGTCTTTGCATAAGAATAGCTTTTTTTCCAGTAGCAGGTTTATTACGTTGTCTTAACAAATTTTTAAGTTCACTAACAGTAATATCACTAAAATCAACCTTTTCCAATTCCTCATTCAATTTATGTCGATATTCCTCAGAAGACATTGGTGGTTTTGATGGCTGTGTCAAATTTTTTGGATTTCGTTGAATTGGAACTAAAACATTTGGTTTTCCAATAAATGGCAAACAATTAATTGGATAATGATGTTGTTGTTGTTGATAAAGGTGGTTGTGATAGTTGTAATATTGATAGTGTTGTTGTTGCTGTTGTTGATAATATGATGATGAAGATGGAACAACAAGACTATCTTGCATTTCTGAGGGTATAGTGGGAGCTGATAATGACCTTTTACGTGTATGACCTTTACGAGGAACTTGATTTGGTGGTTTTAATAATGCTGATGATGGTAGTGGATAATTAATAGAGTTATTGTTACCATTATTACTAATACCATTATTAATTTGTCCAGGAGGAGGAAATGTTGGTGTATTAGGAGTTGATAAAGTGGTAAAACAATTATTACTATGATCCATTACAAATATAGGATTGCCATCATTATTGCTATCAACATTATTACCAATATTTTGAGTAATATTATTATCAAGAGCTTTAGTAAATGGTTGAATGATTCTTTGATTTTCTTTATCAACTTGGAATTGCTTAAACATTTTATTAGAATCAATAGTAGAATGAAAATTTGGTGTAGAATTTCTAGTGATCAATTGATGATTTTGGTGAACTTGTGGAATATGATCGTGATGAAAAAATTTATTAGGTTGCTGTTGATGTAGTTGCAATTGTTGGATTTGGAACTGATGATTTTGACTTATTATGCTAATGTCATTATCATTATTAATTGATTCTATTGGTTGTTGATGATGTTGAGCTGGAACAATAATCTTGCTATCTTCAACAATACTATCATCATTACTAATATTATCATCATTATTAATATTTAATGATAATTGATTTTGATTTCCTTTTACCAAAGCATAAATGTCACTAGCAGATGAATTTTGATGGCATGCACTAAAAAAATTATTTTGAATAATTGTCTGTTGATTCAATTTATGAGATGCTACTAGATTATCATTAACATTAATAATATTAAAATCAGCAATACCAGTGCTATTAAGGTTGTTAATATAATTAACACTGTTATCATTACCAATCATCTCATAATGAATATGATTGCTATTGATAATAAAGTTTGCATCCTGATCACAATAATTTGAAGGGGGGGATGATAATGGTGATGGTGATGGTGATGGTGATGACAATGATGATGATGGTGATGGTGGTGTTACGGTTGTTGGTGAATTAGGATTATTAGTTGTAGACATTTTAAATCTGATAGAAAAAAAATAGATTTAAAAAAAAATAATAATAATCAAAATCAATATTTATATCGAATTTTTTTTTCACCTATTTATTTAATTCCCCAAAAGTTGAAAGAAAATAAATGAATAAAAAAAAGGGATTTGTTTAATTAAAGAGAGATTTTGTCCTTGATTTTATAAAATCAAAAGGGCTTTTGGAATTGATTAATAGAAAGAGTTATTTATTAGGATTACTGTGGTTGTTTGTTTATTAAAACAAAAAAGAATGTGCGTGTAAGTTAAAAATTTAAAAATTTAAAAAATACTTCATACAATAATATATATGTGTAATGTTTTAAATAAAACAAATAAAAAAAAAAGAATTTAAGAATAAAAAGAATAAAAAAGAAAAGGGATAAGAAGGGTGATAAATTTGGTATATTCGAAAAAGAGAAGTAAAGAAAAACATGATTCTATCGTGATAATAATAAATTGTTTGTTTGTGTAAAATAAATAATAAGGCAATAATTACACACGACATTCATCATACATACAAACTTAATCATTGTTTTGAATAAAAACTTAGGAAACAACAACATTGATAATTCCTTTGATATTCTTCCATTTAAATTTTTAACGTTTTATTAAAAAATATATTTTTGCCACAAATGTGGTTTTCACGAATAATTTTTGTAACGCACCCAGGTTGATTTTTATTTACAAAAGATGTAATATATATGCATGCAGTTATCTTTTTACTTATATACATTTTAAGATTTTAAATTAGGTGATTTGATTATTCAGATTACTAATCTGTATCCCCAAAAGAAATTTTCCCACCGCTCTCTATAAAAACGAAAGAAAAATAATCATGAAGATTTATTATTTAAAAAACGATCTACTATATTCCAAATAGTATTAATAATCTCATTAGTAGTATTATTATCATCATCCAGGAAATCAATTTCATCCAATAATCTATTTTTCAAACTTGACGTTCTAGGCAGTGGTAGTATACTATCATCATAGTTATTGTAGTCATTATCCCCATAATCATCTTCATAGTAATTATCATAATAATAATGTTCAAAACTATCCAATTTTCTAGTTAATTCTTTTAGCATATAAAGAATGTACAAATATCCAATTAAAGTTACCAAGAATTCTGCAAATATTATAGTTTCAGGTCTAAATTTTGTTTTTTTTGGCACAAATATTGATGGTGGTGGTGTGAAAGGTGTTAATATTGGCATTGAACATTGTGGTGAAAGATTTGATGGTGGTGACATTGAAGATGTTGAAAAGATTGATAATAATGATGATAATTTTGAAATTATTACTAATATTGGAGATGTAAATATGGAAGAACTACTTTTTGTAGACTTTTTCAATTTATTTGAATTTGAATTAATATTTGAAGAAGAAGAAGAAGCAGAAGATTGCTGTTGATCAATATCATTTGTATTTTTATGTTCAGATGGATGATTAGCAATAAAATTTTTGATTGCTTCCTCCAAATCTTTATAATATTGTACTTGACCAACAATTGATGCTTTTTCAATCGTTCCTTTTAACCAACAATTTTTAGTAAAGTTTACCGCACAACTAACAATAATTCTTACTCTATTTCTGCCTGCATACATCAAACAAGTTTTTGTCATCACGACGAATGAGTCGCCTGATGGAACATCCGGTGTACTGGTCGATGTTAACAATGTCGTGTAACTTTTATTAAAAATGAGAAAACGAGATATGAGAGATATGTGTGTGTGTGTGTGTGTGTGTGTGTGTGTGAAGAAATGAATATATATATTTACCTAGTAAAATCACAATGAATCAATTCATCCTTTAAGTGTACTTTTGTTGTCTTTGGGCCTATCTTAAATGAATTGGGAATTTTTTTGGTGTAACTTCCAAAACGAACTCGTTTACCGTCTTCTTCAACCCATTCACCGATGTTTGTATCTACATATAAAAATATAACGAGTTTAATAAATTATGGTTAATTAATAGAAATTTAACAAATAGTTTTTAATCGTAATTCTTACCATCATTATTTTCATGATTTGTAATGAAGTCAGAGAAGAAATTACTTGCGAATAATAAATTATATATTTCTTCAATTGTACCAGGAAATTCAGTATCTAACACTATATGTTCATAATGTCGATTATTCTTCAAACATTCACATTCGGTTTTCTTTTCACAATTATTAATTTCATTATCATTATTGTTATCACTATTATCATTGTTACTAGAAAATTCTCCAGATTCCGGCCCACTTATGAATCTAGTTGGAATGGGTGAAGACGCTGTTATTGTTTCTCGTTTTCTTCTATTTGACAAATTTTTTAATTTCGAACTAATATTTTTTGTTAAGCTTTTTCCTATCAAGGAACAAATTATTATTAATATTGGTATTTATTTTTTGCAAAAAAAAAATAACAATTATTTAATTAGTTACTTTTTTCGATATCACTGCATTCATTTTCTGAACTAACAATTGTTGTGGTTCCTTCTTTCTTCCCACAACCATCGCCAGGATTATTTTCTTCTAAATCCATTTCTTCTTTATTTTCAATTTTATATAAACTAACTAATAAATCGTAGACACAATCACGCGATAAAAATGATGTAAAGAAATACTAAAGGGGGGTTAAAGTTTGTTATATGAAAAATTCTCAAATGAATTTTATAAAAAAAAAATTTTTCCGAAAATTTCACAAAAATTCTCACCTCCTTTGAATCTTTTGTAGTGATCAATATTGCATTTGGTATAACAAAGGCAGACATTTTTTTCTCGATTGAAGCGATTTCAGATATTGAAATTATCTCATTTGTCACCCATCCAAAAATATTTGCACAGAAACAAATATAATTTTTCGAAACATAAATCCTTCCGTGTGCCAATATTTCTCTTTGCAATGCACATCCATAATCTATATTATAATATATAAATATGTTTTGAATTGATATATACTTTGTATATAAAAGAATATCACAATATATTCATATTCTCGCATTCCTAATCTTTTTATATATTTACCGTTGATTAAAAGTTCAGTGTCAGGCAATGAATTAAAGTAATTATGAAACTCTTTGTTTTTTTTGCAATTGGCAACGATAGAAATATCATCACATATATTATCATCTTTAATGACGATTGAATTGTTGTTTGATCTGGGGCGAGGAGTATTTACTACATTTTTAGTATACTTATTATCATTATTACTATTTTTTCTAACCAGTCTTTTTCTATTATTACGACTTTTCTTGATTTTCAATAATTTATTGATTTCGTTGGGATCGATATTGGATTTTGAACTCGAGTTTGGATTGTTACAAAACGAAGAATTAGTTAATGAAAACAATGGATCATTGCTATTATGATAATTTTCATTTTCATTTTCATTTTCATTTTCATTTTCACTATCGTTGTTGTTGTTGTTGTTGTTGTTGTTGTTGTTATAATTTTCTTCTTCCATTTTTTCTATTATACAAGTTGTATAATATTAATTAAGAAGAAATAGTGAAGCTGAGAAATCAATTTATTATTAATTTTTGGTGATGTCATGATGAACAATGATGTAATGTATCGGTATGAAATTTTACATAATAATAAGTATTGGCGTTGATGACGATAATGACGCTAAAATTCCTAGCTCGAACTCACGTGATGTATTAGCGAATTAAATTTATCGATTAATAATAAATATATTTTGTAATAAATAATAAATATTTATTAGGTTTAATACATACAGTACATACGTATATATTTAATAATAAAATCGTATTTAATAGCATTTTTGTATCGATTTTGAATCTCATCGATCGATATGTCCGATTAAACATCAAGTAAAACATATTTATTGTATTGTATAAATAAATATTAACCATTATATGGATGGACATACTAACAAAATCAAACAAAATGAACATTTCAGGGATCGATAATAAATATTTGAATGTTACTTCCTGGACTTTATATTATTTTTGGTATGCAATAGTCCTATATAGCTACCCCTTTATTTATTTTTGAATTCAAAAAAGATGAATAAAATAAAAATACAATCTTTATTTTGTTGAATGTTAAATTTCGGATCACGTGGCATGTGATTTTTGAGTAATGAGAAATTTAATAGAAGGAAAATGTCATTCACAGTATTAAGTATCAACTTTTTATTAACTATAGACTTGGAAAATATTGCTTAATTATAATAATTTTCACAGGAATATATTTTTTATTTTCAAGAATAATTTGTCTTGATAATTCAATTCTTTTCATTTATCATTGATATTAATAATAATAACATTATTTATTACAAACCAAATTGAACATCATGTATAAGTAAAAATAAAATCCTTAAAATTGTTTTGAATCATATTTAAAAGTTTAGATAAAAATATCTAAACATAACTTTTCAATTATTAGATTATTTTTATCACACCATTCACCATAAAAGCATTTCAAATGCTATTCTGTGCTAAAATGTGTTAAAATATTGTGTTTTTCTCTGTTGACTTCCTGCCGATCATTTCATCACATAACATCCAACGAAGTACTACTTGATGTTTACCCCTATTTACCTTGTCACTTGATATGCTTAATTGAAATATATTTCAAGTTGAAGCTGCAACATTAAAGTCAGAAGAGTAGATAAGGAAAACCCATTGGATCCCAGTAGTTACAACACCATAAATATAATCAAAGTAATCACTAATACCATCATCATATTTATGCCCCCCATAAACCTAAGAAAATTATAAGATAAATGCGGTTGCTATATGATACTGTATGAGAAACATTATACAATTGCACCATATTTTGAGTGATTCCATCTTTAAGCTTAGAGGATTTTATTTCTGCTATACATGTGAGTTCCATGCTAACAAAAAGAGAATTTTATGCATTGAAGTGAGTATTTTTCTCGCCAAGTGTTTTGTTGAATTGTTATGTATCTGAAATTACGCTGCTACTAGGATTAAAATGGAGAACTGGAAGCAATTCGTGGTCACAGCTTGTGAAAGTTACCAGTTGGGTAACCAGACCCAATATATGGTAGACAACCTGCTGTGAACGTCCTTCTCCATCCAAAAAGCTAGCTGTTCTGGAGCCTGTGGTGAATAGGATACATTGAAAGGGAAATGGAAGTGCTTCGTGTCCACAGCTTGCTGTCAACGTCCGACTCTGTTCTTGACAATAAAGACACAAATGCTCACTATTTTTTTATTTAGAATTTCTAGGCCTGGCCCTGGTGTTGGTGTAGATGTTTTCGGAGGGTATAGGAACAACACTTTTTTAATACAATGTAAATGTATGGAGAGGATAGATAAATTATTAAATTATTTAAAAGATTAATTAATTATTGTTACGCAAACATCAATTTTTATTATTATAAGGGCCGAAATATGTATGTGATATGCAATGCATGCTATCTAACTACCTCCCAGACACTGTAGGTATGTTATAGCATCATCTAAAGGTAATTTTAGTTGACGCACAAGAACAAGAGCTTTCCTATCTGGTTTAACAGATAAAAATGATACAATGGATAAATATATTTTTTTTTTTTTAACACAAATAAAAGATTGAATGCTCGTCATGTCACTTTTGCTTGCCAAAACTCGTAATTTTTTTTGCAGATTTTTGAAATTGTTTTCATATTTCAATCAGATCTGCAGTTTTTTCTTATTCTGGCATATTAGAGTCGTGCGGCAAAGATTTAATTTCTTATAAACTTGCAGAGAAGGGAAGGGAAGGGAAGGAGGAAGGAGCATAGTTCATTTATATAGGTGATTTTTTATAAGTTTGTGATCTGTGAAAACCTGTTTACTTTTTTCCATAGCCACAAATTAATTTTAAAATTTGAATAAA